GTGCCTTTTAAATTACAAGATATTTCCATTTTAAATTTTGTATTCGGGTGATGCAATACTTTTGATCGCCACTGTATATAAGAAACTCACATTATCTATACATATACCAATAACTTTCTTTTCACAACACGATTCAGTTTTAAAAACTTGAAAGTAAATTAGTTGAAATTAGGCGGAAAAATGAGACGTAGATTCGAGAAATATTTTGCAAAAGAAAACGCATATAAACCAATGGATTAATTTCAAGCAGATTTAGGATAAATTGAAAGATGATAACGATTATAATTTTTCAATATACAGTAGTTATAAAACCGAATATTTAAATAGAAATAACAACAATTGTGGATGGCAAAGTTAGCAATATCATGCATGGAACTGTAATTTTTAAAATGCTAGAATGAAATTTACTTGTACAAATGTCCATAAAAATGTATTGAATAACGAATAAATTTGTATTAAAGTAGTCTTTAAATAAATTAAAGTCTTTATAAATCGAATTTAAATTCTTAATAACAAATCATATTCCAACTTGTTATACGTATTAGTTTTACGAAAAAGAAAAGAAACTATTTCATATCAAACATATAAAATGTTTAAGCTTGATTTCATGTTTTTGAAATAAAAATGATGTTCCTAAAGAGAATTTATTAGTGAGCGACGTTTATGACGCTTCTTCCTTATAATTTTATCTTCTAGCCATTTTTTAAATTCTCTCTTCAATACATGATTTACAGTGAAAGTATATTAATGAAATACAATAATTGAAAAATATTTTTATATTATCTATAATTCAGTAAATTATGCTAATTATTACTAATCTTTTGTAAAATCAATTGTACAACTTCCACTATCTGAAACATAATTAGAATCTTCCGGATCATCATCTTCATCATCATCAATTTGACCCAAATCATTAATATCTTTCAAAATTAATTCATCATTTTCATATTTTCCTTTCCACTTTTGAATGTCTTGAAACCATTGCTGTTTGGTTTGACCATTAAGTAACCCAATAGCAATTAAAGATGCATTATCCCCATGATTTTTAAATTCCAATTTTAAATGATCCATTATACACCATTTAACAAATTCTTTACAAGTTTCTTTTAAGCATTCATCTATATTAGTTGAAGTTTGTTTTTTGGCAATTTGAATGAACTTTGAAATGAAATGTTCAGATGCCATGCCTTTATCATTTCCCCAAATTCCTATTAATAGAAAAATGACGGTTTAAACCTTTTTTTTTTTAAAAAAAAAAGTTTAAATAACATCTTTTAAATCTACCAACCATCTGAAGCGATAAGAATCAATTTCATATTACTATTAATAGGTATTTTATTTATAATGGGCCTTGCTATATCATGAAAAGTAACAAGTAAATAAATGAATGATTTGATTATGATCGATTTAGTAAATGAAGAATTACCAAGGACAGGAGGTTCCTCCGAGTCTAATTTAAAATGATAATCTCCTAAACTACGTGAAGCGGACAAGTTCCACTTTTCACCTTATAAATTTATTATTTTGAATGTGTTAATATGTATGAGAACAATACTTTATACAATTCAACAATGATCATAATTATCTTTAAATCTACCATTTAAATGCTTTCCATTAAATATAAATTTTTTCTCCCCATCTTTAGTCTTGATAATGTAATTACTATTCTTTGTGCCTACTCCTATACGTTCCTGTTCTGTGATTGAAGTATTTTAAAGTTTCGGATCTTAAAGAAATAATGTAATACATAATAAGTAAATTACCTTTAGGATTCGACCAATTACAATCTTCCGTTTCGAAAGCTACTTTTCCATCATCACAAATCACAGCACGAGAATCACCAAGGTTAGCCTGAATAATAAATTAATAAAAACTTATATCATATCATAATACCATCAACAAGAAGAAAATTAGTACTTTATTTAATTAAGAACATACAACGTAAAGAGTTGTATTATTATGTCTTAAAACAATCGTCGCTGTGGATCCAACATTTTCAGGAAAATGTTTTGTAAAATGTTCTAGGAAAAGGAAAAAAAAAATCATTATTAGTGATAAATATACTAAGTTAATTATTAACTAATAAACTTTACCTTTATCTGCTCTTTCAAAACCCTTAACCAATGCGACTTCAATTTCGTTATTATATTTCAAAGTTTCTTTAATCATTTCCGGCAAATAACTTATGCATTCTTTTGCAACTTCATGTCCTTTTAAACAAAACAAACAATTGGATAAAATTATTGATAATAAATAAATAAATAAATAAAGTCTTGTGATATAATTTACCTCCTTTCTTTAATCTAGATTTAGGATCTATTCCTCCATGACCATCATAAACTGCAAAGATTTCATATTTGACATTTTTCGAAACGGAAGATGAAACACTTACAAAATCTTCCATATATTCGAGTGGTTTGTCTAAATAAAATTAGTCAAATACCTCAATTTCATCATATAAAAAATTCCTTAAGCAATGTATATATAATATGTACGTACAAAGAGTTTCGAGTCCCGGTGTAGTTATAGAGGCGATAATTAGACCTGGAAGATCATAATTACGAATGGTAACATTCGAGGATGAACTATCAAGAATTGAAATTTCATCAATTGTTTCAGAAAATTTAACGGGAATATCAGACATTTTCCTAAATGAAGATTTTTTTTTCTTTAGAGTAAATAATTTTCGTAAATTGGAAAACATTTTAACTGAAATGTCCTTATCTCTAAACATTAACAATACATAAGTCTAAAGAATTGTATTTATTATAAAGGATGGTTGTAAATTTAGCTATCTCCTCTTATGGCAAAGTTGATTGTAAAATTTCTTATTATGGTGGCTGTGTCATTGTGTGACAATATTACGAGGATCAGCTGACTTACAAAATTATCTCATGTTCGTTGTACAACTGTCACAACTAGTAAACCCAGTCAACAGTAACCGAAACAAATGGAAACATTTCACACTAAACTTAATATCATGTGCACAAGTTAATCAAGCATGGTATCATGTAGTTACAACATTCTATATAAGGTATACAGTAAGATTTAAGACATTTGAAGCACGTTCAAAATTTCGTGCGCGTAGTATTACAAATAAAATCGATAGCAAAGCCAAGCATTAATTATTAATTTTTTGTTTAAACACTGTAGCAAAATCTTCCTACTTCAAAAGATTCTGAAGGGTTTGTCTCCTATTTCTCTTTCAATAAGATTTTATGGACGCTTAATTGTAAAACTTGAACAATCCATAATTCAGTTGCTAATGAAGATTTGCTTTGTGAAGTTTCTCCAAATATTTAAACCTTGAGAATATATTTTAATAATTTTTACGCAATTAATGATGAAGTGATTAAATTACTTGAAGACAATGAAATAATACGGATGAACAAAAATAAATTTAGGAAAGCAATTATTTCACTTGAAAAAAAAAGCAAAATATTTTATTTAAGTTTATTTAAAGTTTGTGTTTTCTTACTTCATTTACGGAGATCATTTCACTCTCATTTAATTTGAGTGGATGTCATAAAATTGGTCAAATTGAAAATTACAAGTATCTAGAAAAGGTTTTTCTGCTGTACTTCAATCTAACATAGAATATGCCACATTTATCAATAGTACGATTTTGGAAGAATTTTCTTATAATGAAAATGAAACTAAGGTTCTACAACAAATTCCTTATAGGTGTAAAAATTTGGAATATCTAAACATTTAATGTAAGTCTTTTTTTTTAAAAAAAGAAATTTTGTGTTTACTAATAACCATCCAAATAACGTCATAAAAGATGTATCCCTCAAGAAAATTAAGTTATTATTTTTTTACAAATTCCGGAGCATAAAATCCTTTAGATTTTAATAAAACGAAAACTAACAAATTTCAATCGTCTTAAATCGTGTGCAGCTTGCATCGAACCAAAAAAAAAAATAAAAAATAAAAATAAAACAATAAAAAAATATAGAGATACTATTGTTACATTGAAAAATCAGTATCTTCTCCCTAAAGAAAGAATCTAAACAAAGTCTTGTTGAAACCTGGTAATCATTTAGAAAGATAATTAAATACTGGATTAGCATTCAATACGTCAAAACATGGTAAGTAAAACCATGCAATGTATTTATATCAAACCATTTTCTCCAAATATCTTGTTTTCTTTCAGAAATACAAATATGACAAACATATGCAAGGGGCTATTTAATTTTTTAATTAAAGTCCCCTTGACGAAAGCAGAACCTATCAATCTTTTCAAAAATAATTAATTGTAACTGCCACGGTCAAAATCAAAATTCATTATCAGTTAAACGAGTCATTCTATTGGAGGTATTTTATATTTTGTATCTAATTTTGCGCATATACAGAACTGTATATACTTTATTTATTTATTTCACTGGTACATCGACCAGCGAAATTGTCATTTGTCATTTGTAATTTCGGGCCAATTAAGCATAATACGAAGCTAAGGTAGGGAAAGTAATTTTTTCAAATTTAGATGCGAAAAAACGAATCCAATCCGCGTATGTTTTTCCTAATGTTCGCTACGTGATGATCATTTCCGTCTTCCGTCGTCATAACTGCGCCAATTCCAAAACCTTGTAATTCAAAATCATTCATTTGATTTGATAATGAATGAGTGATATTTTATTATGGTAATGAATTTCGGTTCGATTTAAAATTGGAATAAATGAATTGATAATAAAGTAATAGTTTTTGGATGGTTGTGTCACTATATCGTCCGAAGACCGATATCGATTCAATGGTCATTCGATCAAATTATCATATCGCATATTCCTGATAAATATAAATTGAACAATATTGAACTTTTAAACTTTATTAACACAATAATAAATGTATTTAATTGGATTTTATAAAAAAATACCTGCGCCAATTTTAATTCAGCATCATCTATATAAAATGTTAATCTCCTTTCTTTCTTATTTTGCAATTTTTTCCTTCATTAACTTCCTTGATGTTTTTTATCAAACAATTAAATTTAACAGGGTTTTTCCTCTTCATAATTCTTTGTTCTTCGATCTGTAATGTTGCTGGTGACACCGTGGTGGATGGTCCCCCAATAAGCGGGTGGCTTGCTAAAGAAACGGAAATTGATCGTAGTGAAATTCCAAAAAATATATTGGTTGTAAATAGTTTAGAAGGTAAATTTTCATTTTTTTTCTTTCTTAAGAAATTTTTTTTTATTAATTCACTACGTTAAATTGTAGGATATAGTCATATTCGATATACTTTGACGATTGGAAACGTCTTGGCTGATCGTGGCTATAATGTAAGCGAAAAATTAAAGTTAATAAAATATTTTTATCTTAATTAATTGTTCAATCTTTATTTTTTTTTTAAAAAATAAATAAATAAATAAAAAGGTCACTTTTGCTACAACGGGAACATTTCCGCAATCACCACAATATCCAAAAATTCACTTTGTTTCACTCGGAGATTCAAAAGATATAAGATATTCAAAAGATATAGTTTACGGATCTTATGATTTATCGGCAGTTGCCAACTTATTAGAAAGGCAAACTAAAAACTTTAAGGAAACTTTTTTAAATATGAAAAAAATTGCTGAAGAATTAGTTAAACCTGATTTATTCCTTTGTTCTGCAGTATATAATGAAGCATGTTTTGATGTCGCCAAGGCAATGAATAAGCCATCAATTGGAGTGGCGATTGCATTTGTAGGTAATGTGTAAATCGTTTGCATTTCCTTTGTATATATTTATTTATATATATTTAAATAAAAATTGAACAATCATACTTTTAGGAGGAAGACTGCATACTCCTTACAAATCGGAGCCTATGTTTATGGAAGGATGTAAGGTTAACATGGAACATGAATCATTTTGGCAAAGGTTCCGTTGCGAAATGTTTCTACCTTTCAAGTTTATGATGACATTTGGACCCGTTGTTAAAAAATTTGATGAAGTCAGAGTAAGCCTTGGCTTACCAAGTCAACAATCTCCATTAGATTATTGGAAAAATTCTTTGTTCTTGGTTGACAATTTTTTTGGTAATGAGGTACGTAAACGATGATGTAAAGCGAATCATTTGATTTTAACGATCAAGGTTACTTAATATAACTCTCTTATATGATATTATAAGATTGCACTTCCCTTACTTCCAAATTTCCAGGCAAGCCTTTTTACGTTAAAGTTTTAACTTAATATGTTAGTACGTCTCAAAATAATAATGAATTTTTTTTTTTTTTTTTTAGGATATTGGGCCGCTTCTGCCAGATTATTTTCCTCCGTTGACACCGGATCTCGAAAATTTTATTACGGCGCATAAACGTACGATGTTTGTAGCATTAGGAACGCATCTATATCTAACACCCGAAAACAACGCGAAATTATTACAATCCATTGTTGAAACCGTTGAAAACAATATTGTTGATGGAGTTATTTGGTCCCTGGTACAAACGAAAAAGGAAGATTTCCCACCTTCTATCACCTTATCAGATGGTAGAAACATTTCCACCCTGGATGTATTAAATAATAAAAATCCAAACATTCATATTATTCCTTATGCACCTCAATTTGCCATATTAAATCATACAAATGTAAAAGTATTCTTAAGTCACGTAGGAGCTGGAAGTGTATATGAATCATTATATACTGGAACGCCAATACTTGCATTTCCAATTTCTTTGGAACAACCTAGTAATGCCGATAGATTGGTGTTAGCCGGTGTTGCCTTACGATTGAATAAATTTAACTTCAAAGTACATGAAGTTTTAGATTTTGCTGAACGTTTACAAAAAGATGAAAATATACAAATAAACGTGAAAAGGTTTAAAACTTTGGCCATGATTAATAGTAAAAGGAAATATAGAGCTGTTGATTTGATTGAGTTCGTCTTGCAAGCCTCAAAGTGGAGACCAACGGAAGAGTTGGACGATCAATGGTTGTATAAAGAGTGGATTTCTCCAAAAGTCAGAATGGGATTCATTAAAGGAAATTATTTGGATGTTTATGCTGCTGCGATAGGAATTGTAATTGGTGTTTTCGCTGTAATTATTTGGGGCGTTATTAAAATTGGAAAGCTAATGTTTAGAAAATTATTTAAAAGCAGTGAAGATAAAACAAAGAAAGAATGATTTGAAATTAATTTCGGTTTTTTAAATTTTTGATTTAATACAACTGTTTTATTAAGCAAAAATATTTTTTCAGACATTTATTCAAATTTTCATTTTTTTATTCAATATTTTAATTTCATTTCATTTTTTTTTAAAAAAAATAAAATATAAATACGATATTTAAAGTTAAATTCGAAATTTTTACTTTGAACAACATCAATTAACGTAATTTTGATTAATCTCTTTTGGCTTTATGTTTATTCAGGAATAACATGAAAATCAATTTTTTTATATGATGAAATTTTAATTTATTTTGCTGTTATATGTTATAATGATATTGAATATGATTACTCATAAAAAGTTAAATTACAATTGAAATAATTATTACATAAAATGCATACACGATTAATAAACCATATCAAATCCTTCTAAAATTTATTACAATAAATTGTCCATCCTTTGAAAAATGTATTATATATATACATCAACGACCATAATAATTATCATTATTATAATAATTTCGAGGGGGAGTAGGTACCCTTTGATGATAATTAGGAGAAGTTGCTCTGTCATGATTATAATCAAAATGTGGTGGTCGTGGATGAGGTCTAGTTGGGGGAGGTGTGGGTCGATAAATTTGTTGAGGTGGTAGAAAAGGTTGTTGCGGAGGCAAATAATTTTGTTGTGAAGATGCGGGAGGTGGTGGCGTAGTGTTATTATAATACGGTCTAGCGGGAAGGTATTGAGGTCGTGGTGGAACATTTGATGGATAATATTGTTGTTGTTGAATTGTACCAGGAGGGGGGAATAAACCGGTATGAGGTAGAGGAGAAGATGAGGTGTAATAAGCACCAGGCTCATATTTAGGTTGTAATCCTCCGTTTGGCATTTGTTGATTATCATCATCATACGAAGTTGCCGAAATTATCGTTTCACTTCCAGGTGAAGGATGATGAATCATTATTTGTTGGGTTGAAGAATTATTTTCAATCGTGTTTTCATTTTCTGATGAATTCTTTTTCTTTCTTCGAGACCTTTTTGATCTCTTTGTGTACCAATACCAGAATAATAATCCACCGAGTAAGATTAATGATATGCTTACCAATACCCCTATTATAATATGCTTTGCCGTAGATGCAGATGACTTATCTATTGGTGGTCCAAATGATATTCCAAAATCTCGACAAGTTTTTTGATAATGTGTGAACTTTGTCGCTTTAATGTTTTTGTTTCCAAAACATAATAAACATGTTGATAGTGTATTATATGCATCTTCATTACACATGCAGATTGCCAAGCGCTCTTCTAATTTTTTTTTTAAAAAATAAAAAAAAAATTTAATAATCTATAAAAAAAAAAAAAAATTTTTTCAAAAAAAAAAACCCCCCCCCCCAAAAAAGTCTTACCGGCCACATTATATTCAAAAGGAGCTTGACTTTGTATGTTGTCAGTAGGAGGAGGACCAAATGTTCCACCACAAGGTAATAAAATTTCATTCAATTTGACGCAAGCCTCATTATTATTAATTGAACAAGTTTGATCTTGTGCATGAACAACATTTCGTAAACTACCTACTAGTAGTATTATTAAACATGGTATAATGAATTTCACCATATCTCGCTTTTTTTTTATATTTAAAGTCGTCTTTTTTTTTTTATAAATAATACTAAAGATAATAATAATGATAATAACTACTTTTCCGTTTCGTGTCGTTTTTCGTTCGTTTTACTTCATTTTGTTTTTTTTTTAAAAAAAAAAGTGAAATATTTATTAGCTAGAGACTCATGCGTTTTTTTTTTATAAATATATAAATATAAATATTTGAGATTTTTTTTTTTTTTTCCTATAAAAAAAAACTTACGTTTATGAATTATTTTATTTAAAAAGGAAAAGAAAATAAAATCATTACTGATAATTTCGTTCAACAAAAAAAAAAAAAAATAAATAAAGGGATTGTTAATAAAATTTACAACGAAAAATGCCAGTCCCTTCGAGTAAAAGTTTTATTACCAAATAAGAAAAAAAAGGGTCTTTTATTTGAATTGCGCTAAATATACCAAAAAAAAAAAATAAAAAAAAAATAAAAACTTTATGTCACTCATGTTATATATTGCTTTACCATTTTCATTCGATGACATAAGGCTAGACCAAATACATTTTAATTATAAATTTGTTTGTTTATCAGTTGAATGACAAAATCTATTTTCAGAAATATCTCATCAAACCCGGTCCAACGGAATGTTTCTTTGGATGAAATCCTCCTTTTTTTTTATAAATATATTAATTGATTGTAGAATGGATGATAAAAAAATAAAAAAAAAGATTTCTAAAAAAAAAATCATTCATTTTTTTCCCTTTAATTAACACGGAGACACCATAGTTTTACAAACCTACGGTATCACCGTTGTACGCATAAGATAAAAACTCTTTCCATTTTAACAAGTGAGTGATTCTAGATTTCTTTTTTCTCTTACATGATATAACTTGCTGAGCGCAAATGAAAAAAAATTCTCTTGGTTGTGTATTTGAGAGTGGTGATAATCGAATTTTCTCATTCATTCTTTTATTTTAAATAACAATACTGCAATACTTTATACGAAAGCAAAATACAAATTCATTATGTTTGAAATCTGCATACACGTACATGCTTCAGTGAAACATTTATTTATTTTAAACTGCGCCAAATAATTTATATAAAATCAAAGAATTTGTCGTTAGAAATCAATAATATCAATGATTTAAACTTAAAAAATACGCTCCAAGCGAATGTCAAAAAAAAAAATCGCTTTTCCAAGGGATTATAATTGCGGGCGCGACATTAACCATGTTTACGATACGATCATCTCTTTTTGATTGGGATTTTCAAATGAAAAAAAATTTTTTTTTTTATGCGTTTATTTTTTTAAAAAAATCAATGATTATCGACCTGCAGACAAGTTCGAGTTCTTTTGAAACGGCTGGCGTTGGACTGTTTCGGGCCCTGCTTGTAATCATCAGAGATGTTCAAGCTTTCTATATTAGGAAATTGCAATAAAAAACCTAATTCGAAAAAAAAAAGATCGAAAGTTTTTTTTTTAAAAAAAAACCTCGTTTTGTCGTTTCGCCGGTCATGTGATGAAAATTTATTTTGACAATTGTCTTTATAATCAATTTATTCTAATAAAGGAATAAAGTAATTAAACGAGAACAATTAAACTTGTCCCAAAAGGATAGATCTTGCATAATCTAAAAAAACGGGTATTCCCAATAAATCAAGAAATTAAATTATATTTTTAAATTTGGGGTATTTATACAAATATATATTCTAATAATAAAAATTCCATTAAAGACTTTTATTAAAAAGGAAAAAAAAAAAAAACTTTTTTTTTAAACAATCAAATAAAATAATTATAATAACAACAACCGAATTCCACTACCGCTCTATTGGATAAACGGTGGAAATTAAATTTCCATAAAAGGAAAGGCAATTTCGTGTCGTGCAGTCATAAGTTTCTCGTTGATTTTAAGTATATTGGAGGTAATTAAAGTGACATGCCTTTACAGGTCGGTAGAAATTGTCTTATTCTAAAACAATTAAAGTTTTTTAAAAAAATCTTCCTTTGATAAATGATCACTAAGCATTTGTCTTTTGTTATCAGTAATTAAATGCCATTCAGCGATCAATTTGACATTCTTTCATTTAACCCTGATTGCCTGATTGGTGCCATAAATATATAGATGATTTTTGTTGTACCACGCATACCTTGCCAAAATCAATAAAATAATAAATCAAAAAATAAACATTATCAAAATTCCTGTTTTTTAAATCGTCTCCGTCACTTTTTTTCTTCTCTCTATGTTCTGATAGAGCCTTTCCTTCTGCCTTGAACGCAAAGGAACCAAAAAAAAAAAAAAATTCAACAAGACGTTGTCACCCGTCTTTCACTCATTTGCATACATTTTTTTCCATTTTTCCCTTTTACCACTAACCTTCCACCCACCTCCAACCACATCACCTCTCTCTATATTTTCCTAGTTTGAAGCTTTTAAATGCTGTGCATTTTTTAGTTTATTCAAGAAAAAATATAAAAGTAAATATTTAATTATAATTTATTACTAGAAACTCACTTACATTTTCTGTGGATTTTGAAATGGCTTTTGTTAATGCTATAACATATGAGAATGGGTTACAGAAGCGTCAGAAAGGTAAACAAGAAACTTTCTTTATAATCCTTTTTTAGCAAGTTAATGAGCTTGTGTAATGTCAATGATATAGAAGATTTCATCGTTTAATGATGAAAGTGGAAGTGGTGATGTTTAATAAAACTTACCTCGTTTCTAATTGTAATTAATAGCGGTCAAAGAAAATAATGACACGAAAGCTGAATCGGATAGAAAGATTGTGCAAAAACCTAAAGGTACACCTATTTTAAGAACATTTACATAATTTGAAAGAATGATACTAAGCAAAAACGCAACTTTCTTTCCGTTAAACAAAAAAACAGGGAAAAAAATATTTCCTAAAGCCGTAGGCGAAGATAATAATAGTGGTAAAAATAACAATGATAAAGAAAATACAAAAGGAACTCAGAAAGAGAACACAAAGGCCAATCCAAAAGATAATCCAAAGGATACCCCAAAAGAAAATCAAAAGGACAATCAAAAGGACAATCAAAAGAATAACCCAAAGGAAAACCCAAAGCAAGGTAATAAAGATGACAATCAAAAAACCCAAAATGAGAATACCGGTAATAAGGATCCTAATCAGGCAAAAAAGCCAAATGGAACCCCTTTGCCGCTCTTTCCTGATGGATCACCTAATTCAAATGTGCCAGCAAATAATAACACAGCTTTACCAAGTTCTAACTCAGGTAGCAATAATACTAGTGCTGGTGGAGGTGAGATTTTCGGATTTGTTGTGGGAGCTTTGATTGCCGTAGGTCTGATTGGAATGTTTGTTAGGAAGAAAGTGGTTGGAGGTCGTACAAAGTCAAGGGAAATCGACGATACCGAACGGAAGGGTAGTGAAGGTGCTGATGGGTCATATGTGCAAAAGCCACATCATACTCCTTCTGATAATTTTGATGACCAAGAAAAACAGCGTTTCGACACTTTAAAATTAATGATAGATCAGAATCCACCCCTTTCACCTCAACTTTCTAAACTGCCTCATGTTGATAGTAATTTAAATTCACGTCGCCCGTATGATTCATCAACTCCACCCGTGACGCCGAATTCATACGATTCACAGTTGGGACCACCTTCGGTTAATAATTCCTCTTACCCTTTACAAAAGAAAAATTCTATGGAATCATTACGACCTTTGATCAATTCCCCAATACCATCATCTCCTCGAAATCCGCAAGCAAATTCTCCGAACTCGCAAAGTTTCCCTTTCAACTCTCAACAAAATGAACCACCATACCCACAAATTACATACCAAGGGCCATTGCAGGGTAATCAGTACTATGGAGGCCCACCTCCGCTTCAGCAGCTATATCCCATAGAACCAACCCACGTTCAAGGAGTTCTGTCGCAATCTTCAAATAGTCCCCGTCCTCTTGAAGATCCGCCACATTCGTCATCATCCTCTAAAGGCGAGCCTGTTCCAACCGATAATCAAGATCTTTCATACTCAATGCCTTCATCGCAACAGGATCAATCAAATACTCAGCAAGAACCTTCTTTTATGTTAACTAATCAATCAGATAATACAAGTGATTCTCAAAATTTGGACATTAATAAAGAAAAGGATAATGATGATAATATCAATCATGAAGTTACAGATGATAATGAAAGTGACAATCTATCAACAAATTCAAATATTGATGAAAACGATGCATTACAATTACTGGACTTGCAACCATTTATAAGTTTGGAAGATGTGATGTCAAAGTTCACAAATGTTGAAGATAATCGGTTGAGCAATGTTGACCCCGATGAAAAACGTACGAATGACCTAACACCAAAATTGCATGAAAATACAGTTGTGCCGGGGTTATTGTCAACGCCTGTTAGTGATAACTCATTGACAAGTGAATCGCGTGATATTCAACCTAATGTCACACCTGTATCTTTTCCAACATCTAATCGACCGGATAGTCAAACAAGTAGCATTGAGAGTAATGAAAATAAGTCTAACATTAATCAGAATGTGCAAATCGAAAGTGTTCAGCCTATTCAAAGAATGATTCAAATCGAAAATTTGGATGAACATGAAATTACCAAGAATAACACGCCTTTGACAAATAATGAATTGGAAAATAAACAAAAAGTTCCCGAAATATCTGTTCAAGAAACGCGACAGATTGAACCTAAACAAGGCTTTCCTATGGAATCTGATAATTCTGAAAATCAAGTTGTAAAAACTCCCATTCATTCCTCACCGCAATTAAAGCAACCAGCCGTTACTGGATTCATCAAGTCTGTAAAAGCAAACATGGTTATTGGACGGGTAAGTAACGAGTCACGACCTATAATGAAAGCTTCACCAGTGATAACTTCGTTACAAGCACAACCAAGGATGCAGCCAGAAACGATTGAAACTGTTTCCTCCTATCCCGAAATAAGTGCTCCTATCATAACTGAAACATTTAAACCAGAGATGATTATACCGAAACCGGTCGTAGCCCCAGTGAGTCATAATCAAAGATCAGTCCCGCCAAGGTTTGACATTGACGCAATTAAGCGACACGTGGAAAAGGTCAAGCATATGAAGGCAGCCATTGCAGATAAGAACTCTGTCATTAACGAAAGTCATAATGCTGTGAACAATGAAAGGGTATTAGATAAAAATCAAAATCAAAATATTGAGAACACAACTGTAGATTCACCATCACAACAAATTAATAACGATAAACCAAAGAGTGAAATAACATCTAATAATGAGAATCAAGGAAAGCCGCTTGTACGTAAGAAATCGGTACGTTTCCAAGCCGATCTTACTAATCAAGAAGAAGTGCACAAAGCTCCAAATAAAGTTGAGAGAAAATCGATTCTCATCAATAAAGACGATGTTATAAATATACAAGTAAGTAATTAATCTTTGAATTCGAATTAAAGAATGGCTATGATTAACCTGAAATTTTAATTTAAAGGATTCCATAAAACAAGATGACAATGATAAATCACTGTCATCTGAAGATGAAGATTATGAGGAAGATGACGAGGAATCAGGTGCAACTTTCAGTGTTTATCAAATGTATGATTACCAGGACAGTTCGGCTCCAGAACTCCCCACCAACATTGAATCAGATGATGATGATGAATTTTCCATGAGATGAAAGCACAAATTCCATTAACGCGAATTAATTGAGATTTCAATATCAATAAAAGGTTCCTTTCGAGAAAGTAAATGGCTCAGACATTTTGAATTTACCAAATCTTCTCATTTTATTTATTTATTGGATTACTATTTATATTATTTTATTATTTAATTCTCATTTTTTATTTTTATAATCAACTTAATGTGTATTTTAGTTTTTTTTTTTTATTTACATTTTCATTTCTTGTTTTAAATTTTTTTTTATCAATCCACAATTCAACCCTTATTCATTGCAAAAGTATGAATCAAAGAGAAAATGTATTTGTTTCACGATAATGTAATTTTTCCTTGTCGATAATCGGGTAATTTAAAGGTTTTTACAATTGCATTTGGGAATACAATAACAACCATATAATAAACTTGTACAATACATATAGATGTTTTTAGAAATAATTTATTTATTTATTTATTGTAGTAAATAAATATTTGATTGTAAGGATCCCAGTTAATACTAAAAAAAATGTTTTCTCCTAATATTTTTTTGAGATAACCATCCCTTAAATTTTGAGAGAACAAAAAAGCATCAGTAATGTCGTCATTACAATTGTTACTAATTTAGCAAATCGACGACGCTAGCATGAAATTGGAAATTTCATTTGAATAAATAACAAGTTTTATTTCGCCAAGATTTGCATGATTTTTGCTGTAAAGAGAAAACAAAAAAAAGACCAAATATGTATACGTGAATAACATTTATATGGAGGGACTGAAAAAAAGATATCTATATTTAGACTTTGATTTATCGTTGAATAATTTTTAAAAAAATTCATTAATGATAAAGAGGAACTTTCAACATGTGTTTGCCAAGCATTCATCTTTCAAAATGAGCGACTTGGGCTAAAAGTTATTCGAGAAACTTGATCTTGAATAAAAAATGTTTTCCCACGATCCTGCGGATGATTCTCGTTTATATAAAGTTGGATGCTTTTCTCAAGTCAAAAAAAAAAAAAAAAAAAAATTTCGAAATAACAATAAAAAACATTCAAAAATTCCGCACATCTTTACATTATGGCAGTCGCACAAGATCACTGGGTATACCATTTCACAAATCGATTTCTTACATCCAAATACATTTCAATTATGATTTAAAAATTCTTTTTTTACCTAGGCAGCAAAATGGATTGCAGATTCCGACGGAAAATTTCCAGCAAATTCATTCTGGGAAGGAGACCATGCAATTGGTAGAGCATACTTCAAGGAAGGATTACATGTAGGATACGTGGTGCAAGGTAAAGGGCTCGTCATTGGATGGGGTGGAAAAGAACATATTATTTCTCATTATGAAGTTCTCACCGGAGATAAATCTCACTTTCATTGGGTTTTATGGTAAATTTATTTGTTTATTATGCTTGAAGTGAGATAAAATTCATGTTATTTATTCTTGCAATTTTCCTGGTTTTATTAGTCACGGAGCTTGTCGGCCGCAAAACTTTATTCCTCTGAAAGGAGGATTTGAATCTGTAAGTCCTTTAACTTCATTTAATTTCGCAATCGTCAAAAAGAACTTCACCCTTACCGGATTTTATTATAGGATGGTAAGGAATTATATATCGGTAGAGTCTCTTACAACGGAAAAGATAGAATTGGGAAAGCTGGTCAAGTAAGTCTTGCTTTCTTTTTTTTATTATAAAATAAATAATAAAATTTTCTAATATACTGTATATACAAATTTTATATTTTAAAAGCATTTGATCGATGGGATGAACTTTGCTGTTGATGGTCGTGAAACGTCTTATCCAGATTACTATGTTTTTGCATTTAGAACTTAAATTTATGAATTTGTGATAAATGCTCGTTTAAAGAAAAGTAATTCTTTTTTTATTTTGAGTTGATTCTTTAATAAAGGTGTACAGATTAAATTGTAAAAATCAATAAAAATCTCGCAGTAATCTTTCAAATCTTAAAAAAAAAGAATTCAATGTAAGAACCCTCTGAACAGATCCTAACCACTTGACATAAATTAACATCCTCTAAAAAGTTCTCGAATCTTTTATTCTTTTGCACGGGAATGCTCATAAATACACAAAAGAAATGAGAAATATTTATGAACTGTATGTGCAATTCGGCAAAAGAGAATATCATAATGCCCGATTGAGATTATATGTGGTTTAGCATGATTGTGGGATTAAATAAATATTACGTTTTAGTGTGATGTGAATGACTGCGGAGGCGCCAAGTATCCGGGTTCAGAGTAACTTGGCTGATTAAATAAATAGTTTTATCCATATTTGGTTAAACAAGCATTTGAAAATGGATAGAGTTTTGAGATCGTTTGATCGTATAAAACCATCATTATTTTATCATTCTAAAAGTGGAAAGGAAAAAAAAAGAAAAATTCAATCACTAGTTGCTCATTTCGGGGTTGTCCATTTTCGGATTTGGTCTTATTGTTGTCCTGCCAATCAAACTTCAAACCCTTTTTTACATTATCTCGAACATCGAACTCAAACATAACATGTGAATGAGTTGAATGATGTTTTGTGATCGACATGGTTGGCTAGTAAAAATAGATCCTGGGCGCTCTAAAAATACTTCCGGCGTTTCCTGATATAGCATTCATTATGTTATTGCTTTGTTCAAATAAATAGTTAGTTATTTTTCCTCCTCTTTTTTTTTTTTTTTTAATAAACTTATTAAAACCTGAAAAAAAAAAGGACAGGCTGAAATTAGAAATTACATATATGATAGGATTTATATTTATAAGTAAGCTTTTTTTCATAAATTTGAAGTTATCAGGGAAATAATAAATTAATGATGAAAATCTCATTATAAAATCCCCATTTTTTGTATTTTTTTTTTTTAGTTTAAAAAAATAAAAAAAATGGCAGGAAAGCTTCCGACGGAATGCCTTATCAAGATTTTTAAGATGTTCATAGTTACTTATAATCACGATTATGTTACATTACGCTCATGTGCATTGGTGAATCGAAAATGGTGTTCCATGGCGATTCCCATGCTTTGGAGAGAGCCTCTGGCGAACCTCCAATTTCGTAAATCAACGCGTAATAGGATTCATCTACCCATCGGTACTTACATCATGTGTTTGAGCGATGAAGCAAAGGACATCCTTTCCAAATGCGGGATATCGTCGACGCTAAAAAGAGAAGCGATGTTCGATTATGCATCATTCTTACAAAGTTTGGATAGTGTAATGTTGTCCAACGCAACGGAAAGGTGGTTAGAGTTATGTAATACAATACCAAAGGATGGACAAAATTTCATTCCGGTATTTAAAAATTATCAATTAATCGATCAATTACTCAGAATGTTTATGAAGAGGTGCAAGAATCTTAAAGAAATCCAATTAAAAAAATCGAATCAATTGCGTTGTCCTGCGGATGCGCTTTTGCAACTTCATTTATTACCTGGGGCGGAAATTTCATTGTCGAACCTTAAGAAATTTTCATTTGACGGGTGCATGGAACCGGAAATCTTGTCCAAAGCATCGGAAATTAGCAAGAATATTCAACATTTACAAATTGATTGCATTTGTAATGACAATGAAGGGTTAGCAAAATTAATTCGAGCTCAACAGAAGGCTTTACTCAGTTTATCGATAGAATCCATGAACCTCAATATTCCAAATATTAAAAATGCTTTAAAGAATAAAGTCGATTCGCTTACTTCATTATCTATCAATCGGATCTTTTCATTAGACATTTTCTCCAATTGTAGTAATTTGGAAACTTTATTAATCTTGCATAGAGAACGTTTTGTTGACAACCTTATGGAAAGATTTGTGAATTCCAAATTCCCAAAGTTGCTCGAACTTCAACTTCAAATCGATCATCCCTACCTTTATCAGATTTCAACATTTATTAAGAATACGAATGAAAATTTAACGAGCATTTATTTAAATTGGGTCGTTCCAGAGGATACAGAGAATGCTTTATTATTGTTTTCTACGATATCCACGCATTGTCCTAACCTAACCGAATATATTGGAGCTTTTGCGAATGATGTTATACCATACTTACCTTTATTCTTCGAAAAGTGTTCCAAATTGGAGTTTTTTTGCATTTATGATGATTATTTGACATTTTATGATTTAAGTAATGTGATGAAGTTAATTGGAAATGTAATACCGAAAAGATTGAAAATGATGTGGTTATCCGAAAGTTGGATGTGTAATGTTGAAGCTTTGAATGAGTTCCTAGAAGGTTGTGAGAGAAGATTATGTGAACCCTTGTTATTTTTTATGTGCAACAGAACCAATCAACATGATGAACTTATAAGAAGATATGTTATGAAAAATGTATTAACAGCAAAGAGTTCTTATAAATTAAATGTTTAAGATTAATCGTTTAAAATTTAAAATAAAAATGATCGAAAGTATGTTTAATATAGAAAATACGGACATTTATTCAAACTTATAAAATTTTTAAAATAAAATTATAGATTATTTAGAGATTTGTATTGATATCAATATCAAATTCAATAAATTTTTTTTATAATAACCTAAAGATAAGTATCTATGATAGATTTTAAATATAAATATATATGATATAAAGATACTTAACCTTTTCATATTTTTTTAATTCAAACTTTAATTTATAATTAACTGATTGATCAATAAATAATTTTTTAAATAGTATGATTTTCTAAATGCTATTTTTCTATATTATTTTTAATTTGAAAATTTCTAAATAATATTATTATAAATTCCAATTTCTCAAATTCAAATAAAATCAATATTCTAATTATTAATGTTCTAAATAACTTTTTGATTAGTATTTTAAATTTTTTAATAATTGACCTGATTTTTTATTTTAATATTTTAAATAAGATTATTTTAAATTATTATAAATAAAAACATTTTTATATATAAAAACAAAAAAATTTATATTAAGATATAAGATATTCAATAATAAAAAAAATAATTATAATAGATAAATTAAAAAAATATTAGAACCTAATATTATCATCATATATGTATAATTTATATTAGATTGTAATTAG